TTACTAAGTGGAGGATATAATTCGGGGCGTGTGTAGGGACGAATAAAATCTTTTTTTATAGAAAGGATAAAATGTTTTTTATATATTTGTATTACTACAAAAAGGAGTTTTCAAAGAATCTACTTAACTTAATGAATTGCTACAAACTTAGCATATAAACTTTAAATTTTCTAGTTTTTCATTCATTTATTTAGTTTATCTAAAAATAATTTCTAGAACATTTAATGGGTTTATTAAATAATATTGTTTCAAAATGAACTTAATAAAATTGTTATTCGTTTTTAATGTACTTAAGTGTAATTTTAGCGAGTGTAATTTGATTTGATTTTTGTGTCATTAAATAATTTACTTGAAATCCTTTTTAATGACACATTTAAACCATTCATTCATGAACAAGGGTTTGATATTTCGTTTGCTGTCAATTACAGCTTCATTTACGCACTTTTATGGTTTTTTTATATTATTTTTACGAATAATTGTTATTTTGTAACTGCTGTGCTGTAATTGTTTTTGTTGTTTTATTTTTATGCTAACAAGGAATTCGTTTTACCGTTTGCTCATTGTTTTAACGGACAAAGGCAATGCCACTAGGGGGCACTGTTGCTATTGTTATGTCAGGATACATAGCAGAGTGTCGACCGACAGACATTTTGTTGTTTTGCTTTTAAAGCAAAAACAAAAAAAAGAAAAAATTAACAGGAAAAACAGTGAAAGGAGCAAACTGCTAACAGTGCACAAATAACAGCGTTTATGGATATATTCGCGTTAAATCGTTTGTGTGGTAGGAAAGTCCAGAGTTCAGAGTCAGGCCAGTCGGGAGTTCCGCAAAGAAGAAACAATAAATAAATCAATGAGAAAATTGTGTTTTCTATTCTGATTTTCATGCAAAAAGACTTTTTCCACAATTTTATTTACTGATTAAAGCAAATATGAATAAAGATTTCCTTAATTCGAGCATTGATTATATAAATTGTAAATATTATTACAACAGAAGTAAGAGTGATAACAAGGTGTGAAAGGTGCACAAATTATGTCCTTTGTCCTATTTGTATTTACAGGCATTAAATTTGACAAATCTGAACTTGTACTTGACATTGAATTTCAATGTTTAAATTAAGAAAATCAATTGAATTAATTCATTACATTTGATTTATTTGCTTAACAAAACAAATTGTTTAAAATTTGATTAATTAAGAAATATTTAGTAATTATAAAAACACAATTTTTGGTTTGTATAAAATTTAAATAAAAAATTGATAGTGAAAGTTTTAGAACCTTTTAAGTTTGTACATGACTGTGGAATCCATTATGGATTACTTAAATCGTCGTTCATACTGTGATAATAGCCTGGCCACCAGAACTTTCTTAATAAGGGATTGGGAGACATGGCTGATTACAACACAAGGGAATATAGCAATTTAAACTGTCAGTTCAAAGATATATAAAATCACAGGAACCGTAATCAATTCAGTGGACGTAGGGATCTTTGCAACCCTATCAAATATATCAAACAAAAATTTTCATTTCTTGACTGTCTGTTTTCTTACTGTTATCATTAACTTTCATGAAAAGAATGCTTATATTCCTAATTATATTTAGACAGCTGTTAAAGCTATTTCATCAGTCATCAGCATTCGTCTTAAAGAGTTCAAGAATAAAGTAGTTTCAGCTAGTTTTTTGTTTTCACTTTTGCACTGTTTTCGATGTTAGAGGCCCATAGGGTATTTTTAATGATATAAAGATTTATGAGCTAATAGTAACAACGCAACAGCAAATCACTTTTTTTAATGCATTCTTAAAGTCGGTAGTAAGTCAGGTTTTTGAAATTGTTTAAAAACCTCATTATAACTTGGACTTCCCTGTTTGGGAATGACATGGGATAATAAGACCGTATACAGTTAGATCTCTGAGGGCAATCTCTGTGTAACTAAACCTAACTAGCAATGGCATAGAATTTTTAATTCAACCAGTATACTCTGCATGCCCCAAATTGAGATTCAATACATGTTACTAAGTTTTTTCTGTATCTTTTATTGATAATTTCTCTCAAAAGTTCTTGCAAGCTGGTCAGATGTAATTTATGCATATTTAGCGATTTGTTTCTATCAATTTAGGATTTATTTTTATTGATAAGAAATTCATATGGCTGTCACTTATTAATTTTATTAGTTATTTATGCACAAGAGTCTATATTCAAATACTATTATACGATTTTCATATAAACAAGTCGAAATATTATCTTCATAACGCTTCTAATATAATTTTGGCTTAACATTTTACTAACTTATCTATGCATCCAAACTATAAATATATATAATATATTCACTAACAAGTATATGCGAAATACTATATTGGCTAAGACAAGAAAAATAAAAAATTGTACAACTTTAAGTATCAAAAATAGTGCTAAATTGAAACACTGTAAGATTTAATGGAATTAGTGCTATTCTAAAGAACTATTTTTATATATCTTTGTACAAAGAAAAAAATACAATGAATTGCGAATGAATATCCTTAATACATTTAATATGAGATTTAGTTACCCAAAAGTAGCAAAGGTTTTTAATATACATGAATTGATAAATTTAATATTAATTAAGTTGTTAGTGTAATCTCCAAGCTGAAGTTTTAATATGTTATTTTAACAATAACAGTTTACTTTTTGTTAAATCATCAGATCAAAAAATAAAGAGTAATAGAATAATCATCAAGAAAATATATTCTTGTAATTAAATAATATTAAAGTACATTTTGTTATTTAAAAACCAGAATAAATTCTACAAAATTAAAACGGTACAGTGCTCTTATAAATAATAAACACGAAATTTCATATAGTTTTAGATACTTCTTAAGTATGCGCAACAGCAATTTCTATATACGAGAATTGTACTCCATGAAATTCACATTTGGTACGTCCATTGTTTTTTCAACGTGATAACATGCTATTAAGGTTCAATACTGTGGTGGTTCTAGAACTGGTATCTCTTAGTAGACTTTGTGTATCTCGTCATTTTTGTCAAAACAAATAAATATCTTATAAGTATCAGAACTTGTATCTATTAGAAGTAAATTCATATATTTTCGTATAGATATTTAAAAATCCTTTAAATTGATAAATGTAATATAACTCTCTGTATAATATGCTTTTTGGTTGTGACCAAAGAGAACATAAAATTGCTGTGACCATTTATCATGTGACTGTTTGTATAACAAAGCACTTACAACTTGAATATGTTTGAAATAATATAAGATCGTAATTATGTCAAGATATTTATATTATAATAGACTATTAAGTTTAAATTATATTTAAAACCACCTAAATAATCCTATATTTTTAAGTAATCCTAAATGATATTAATTTGAATATATTTTTCATTTTTTTTTTTAGAATTTAATTTTCCTTCGGTATCCTTGAGTACGGAACCAAATTTTTTTGGCGAAATGAAAATAGAACAAAACATCAGTACAACAACATCAGCTGCCAATTATAATTAAAATAATAACAACATCCAGCAAAGCTGTCAACGAATGAATTTGATAAATTACGACTCGCAGGATTTTATTGCGCATAGAAGGACACTTTTTGAAAATTTATCATAACGTTCACGTCGTACAATCACTGCGGACATTTTTAATTGTGTAAACAACTGAATGGTGTTCGCAGTATTGAAATAAAGCAATATATTAGCATATTTATCTCAGGCTACCATAAAATTGCGGCTAAATTGTCACTTTTAGCCACAGAAAGCAACGCAACATAATTAAATTTGTCATGGTTAAATTTTGTAAACTTAATTAAAGCAGTGGAGAGAAAAAAGAATTTTATATCAAAAATTAACAAAAATATATACGTCAACAACAAAACAAACTTGTGACCGCTGAATCATTTAAGCTAAAACGAGGTTAACCGCCATCACGCAAATATAACACCAAATTCATAAAAGCGAGCTTATTTACATATACATTAACGTCATAGAAAGGACTCGCACATCACAGAAGTCACAGAAACACATATATATTAATATAGCAGCGCTACATATAAACGGGCGCATTAATGATAACGACTTTTTATCACCGACGGCGTAATAAAAATTGCCAAAATAGCGCAACGCTGGAAGCAACTGAAACAGCATATACTGCAACAGCACCCACATAGGGCAGACCAACAGGCAGAACAGCAACAGCAACAACAACAACAACAGCAGCAGCAACAGCAACAGCAACCAAAACAGCAACAACAAGCGCAACAACAAAAGCTAAAATCGGAACAACAACAGGAAGTTGAAAAATTACAGGTGCAAAAATTTCAGCATCAAAAACCAATAGCTTCTACAACAACAGTAAACTCAACATTAACTGCAGCAACAAACTCAATACAATCTACAACAACAACAATCACGGCGACAACGGCGGCACGTATCTTCTCACGTTTCGATAGTGTTGAAGAGTTGCAACGAACCGGTCGAAGTGGCAGCACAGTTGGAATAACAACGGGTGTTGCAGGTTCTCCTGCCAGAGCTGGGAGTGTTTATGGTGGTGGCGGTGGTGGTGTCATAGTTGGAGCAAGAAATTTATTACATTCAAGACCGGTGACAGGACATAGTAGTAGAAGTGGCAGTATTGTAGGTATATCGGGTGCATCAAATACAGTAACTGGCGGTAGAGTAGCCACAAATGGAATCAGCCAACCGACGGCAACCGTAGCAAGTGCAACGGATGTCTATAGTTCGGGTGTACAACTTAATGAGTCAGGTGATGCAACAGCATATGGTATTGGTAGTGTTGGAGTCGGTGCGAATTTATCAGGTCCTGCAGGAAGCGGTAGTCCTTTACGCACAAGACTTTCCATAAGCACTGCGGCAACAGGTCTAAATGATTACACAGGTGTTGGCGGTGCTGGAGGTGGAATTATAGTTGGTGGAAATAGTGGTAACGTACCAGTTAGCGGTCCAAAGCGTCAAGGTAGCTTTTCGAATGTTTTTTCAAAATTAATGGATGGTATGCCCGCTGGCACAATGTTTTCAAAATTTAAGAGTACGAATACAGCATCATCATCGATGCAATGTGCTGCCGATACAAATCCCATTAGTCAATATTTCGAAATTGGCAAGCAAGTGGCATGTGCCGGACCAGAATTGATATGGAAGATACATGATGCCTATAGAAAAAGTGATGGAAAAGTAAGCATAATTAATGACTTTTAAAATATATTTTTGTTGAGTATGAGTAGCTTTCTTTTTTATTCGTTCGTTTTATGTTTACGGGTATGTTTGCGTCGTTATTTTGTTTGCCTTTCGTAGCGTCATATTGTGCCGCCATGTGCAATTATGCAGGAGCAATTCAATTGCTTTTGTGAGTCTGTACGCTCGACAAGCAGGAGGATATAATGTCTGGCTGCTTGGTTAATTTATTTGCTCCACGTTATTTTCAGATTTTTAATTTAACTTATAAAAAATTTATAAAGTAAATATAAAAAATAAAAATGATTGAAGGTGTGTTTCTCTACACGGGAGAAATATTATATATTAATCTTTTTAAAGTCTTAATTATTTTAAAATTAAAATTTTTCTTCAATAACATAAAGATGAACAAATTAAATCAAAGGATAATTAAGTTGGTTTCGCCAACAGTTGGATAATAATTATATAAATTGAATGTAGTTAGATTAAAGTTTCGGCTAAAATATGTAGATATGAATTGAAAATATTAATATACAGGGAAGATCCCATATATACGAGAAAAATTTCTCAGACTAAAACACGGAACTCAAATCTTTATACTCATATAAGTTGGATTACATATAATACATAAAATAGTGTATTATCGTCCAATAGTATTTGTGTACTCTCGACCCTTTATAGAACAAAGAATTATTTTATAATTAATAAAATAATTTGCAATATATTCATAGAGATGATATGATTACAAATAACAACAAATTGATAAAAAAAAAAAGATTAATCGAATCCGACCTTAACATATGTTTATTACATATAATGTAAATATTCCTTAGAAATACGCTTGGTTGTCTTATGTGTACAATCTTGTTCAATTTTTACGATTTCTTTAATAGCTTCAAGTAATAAATTTTTAGTACTTTTCTTTATAGACAGTTAAGTGAAGCTTTAAAATAAAAATTTTTCTTAAAAGCAGAAGTATCACTTACGATAATATTGTACTATCAATCTAAATAAGATGATAAGATAAATAAGATGAGCCCTTGATTATTGCAACAAGATCGTCAATTTAAAAGTCAGAGAGTTATAGAAACATTTTAGATTAATATCTAATGTAGTAGATCCTTATCAATTAAATTTAGTTTTTATAAAAAGACAGCTAAATGACTGATATAGGAATCCTATGGCTGTACAATAAATTTTTGAAGTAGTAAGTATCCGTAATACGGAATAAACTCATTAGCTAGTTTTTCAATATAGCTCACTAGTTAGTTAGTATTAGTTAATCTGTTTCAGAAATAATATCGAAGTACGGTGAAATGTACAGATTCTCTAAAATCTCCATGATAGCAGCATATTTCATTCTAAACTCCTCTATCCTTGCCCGGGCGCTTTCATGTATTATAAGTGGCATGTACATTTCTCGTATACCTAACCTTTGAAGTTCAGATATCGGTTCTTACATATTGTTGCTATCATTTCATTTCACATCGCTCGTTATATTCTCTTACCACCTTGCTGTACGAGTTTTATTCCCAATTTTGAATTAATAATTATTCCAACTTGTCAATACCAACAAATTCTTTACAATTGAAAAAGTCGTACGATATTTTGCAATTCATTTAATATCCCCAGCCTCTTATTAAAGCGTTTGAGGTAAGTACTATTATTAGGTTGTTTTTAGTTTAATTTTATTTAATGAGTTTGAAAAAAACTAAACATCGGTATGTTGTATTCTCCATACCCGAAAATTTTTCAGAATACTTCTCTTCCGAAGTCTTCATATGTTAATATCGATTTGATTATTATATTCAGTATATTTAGTTTATATATTCTTATAAGACTAATTTTTTGTATTTCCTCATGTGTCACTAATACAGTATCTTTCATTAACTTTTTAAATTATGTAAAATGCAGGGTGAAAACTTTTTCGAACTTCTGGTTTTCAGAGCTATATAGTCTAGGGTATCAAGATATAGCAATGGACTTAATTCATGTCCATTATATAGTTTTTCAACAGATAGTAGAATATATTTTATAGGAACAGTGTATAATTGTCGCTTCCAAAATAACTATATTAGCTAGAAAATACTTTAAAGAACAAAGAACGGAAGTCCTTTTTTTTGTTGGACTGTGTGCTATGGTTCATTTTTAGAATTTATGGTGCAAGTAATAACTAATAATGGAAGTAATAACCAAAACGAATATTTTCGTTAAAATATTCTGCATTTCGAGAACATAGCAAAACCATTGCAAAAGTAATTACGGAACATAAGTAACTCCAAAATCTAGCCAGATAAAGAAATTAATACACTAGGAAAATTATGAAAAAAAATTACAAAAATGACAAAAATTATTAGCTAAGACTTTAATTGTCATCAATTAATTTAAACTAAAAGACGATAGCTTCAGTTTTTTCTTTTTGATGTCACTATTTGCGAACTAATTGCTGGAAGGATCATTCTAACAAAGCCTTATATAAATTGATTTAACACTTTGAAGTACAATAAAATTACAAAAGATTATTCCATATTATTATGTTATCAATTATAAAATACAAATATATATTGAAATACAATGAAATCAATCAATTAATTCAAACAAAATTACTTATGTTTTATTTGTTTTCATTTTTCCCATTTATACATTAATGCATGAAGAACTTTATCAATAAAAGAATTAAAACAATTAATTAATTAATTTTTATTTATTTTAACATTTTCAGGAATGTTCAGTTTTTGTTTTCGAGAAAAAAATTGCAGAAAAATTACATAAACCGAGACGAAAGGAAACGGTGACTGAATTATTGAAAAGTTCAGTAAAAACAATGGAACGATTTCGACATCCTAAAGTATGGAAGAGAAGCAGAAACTTCATTAAAAAAAAAATATGCTTAAATTAATATTATTTTCATTTTATATTTTCATCCTTTTCATTTTGCCCCTTGCACAGATATTGCAAATTATGCACACAGTGGAGGAGTCTGCGGAAACATTGGCTTTTGCAGCGGAGCGAATCTATGCAAGTTTGGCCAATATTTTGGCGTTTCACGTAAGAACCAATTTTGTAATTTATTACTATTTTTGATTTTATAAAGTGTGAACAACTTTCTATATTAAAAAGTTATTATTTTCAACACCAAAATACTGGGTTTAGTAAGGATATTGTTAAAAGTGTTGTGCGAAACTTTTCAGATGTTGAAGTGTGAATTGCGAAAATATTAATTTATTTTTGTAAAGTAAGTACTAGTACTTTGAACAGTTTAAATCTTTTTGTGGTTTTTTAATTGTTGGATTTTAATTATATTTTGAATTTGCCTTTATTTATGGAATAACTTTTGCCAACAATGGTTAAACGTTATATTTAAAATAGTAATTTGTTGAATTTTATTTGGAGGAAAAATGCAAAAAGAAATTAATTCTATATAAAACCTTTTATATAAATAAATTACTGAGTGGATGAACTATTCTATATTTTATATGCTCTACACCGCTATATATAATTATAAATTCAATTCGTGAAATTATTGTTATGAATGTGGAAGATATATAGTTTTACCAGAATGGTTGCATATGCCACAAGCCACACAATACCTTCGAGTTTGACCTTGCTTAACAAATAAATTTTCGGACACCTAAGTTTGCGTTTTAGTGATATAAATTGACCACGATATAGAAGATGGTGGACTTGGTGGGAGAATGAAGGATGATGAAAAGGAACCACTAATACACCTTCTGCCACAATGTCCTGCTTTCGCAAGACATAGACTCTCCTACAAAGGGTCACACTTTTTCAATTCACTAAGAGAGCTAGATTCTATTTCCATAGCTCGTATCAATAGCTCTGTGGCCAGTATCAAATGGTTATAGGGACAGGTGTCAAATTCTTTAGGGTATCACAATGGATCTTATGATCTGAGTGAGTCTTCGGACGGTCCCAACAACCTCACCTAATCTAATCTACTACAATTCTCATTAATTTTAATAACAATTGTCTATTTAAGTAAAGAAGTCAGTACCAAGAAATTGATTTTAAATACTAATTTAATATTAAAGAATACAGTGGGACACATTTAAGCAGTCTGTTTTACCTTCAAGAGTAAACAATTAAAATAGTATTAATAAAAAGATAGAGAAATAAACAAAAGGATTAAAAGTATATATTTTAATTTAATTTCAATTGTAAACAGTATCAAGTATTTTTAATATCTTATATAGTAATCAAAAGATCCTTTACCAGACTAACTCTGCCGAATTTGAAGTTCAGAGTCAATGTTCATTAGCCCATAGCCGAACTTGACTTATTTGTTCGAACTTAGTGTTCCATTAATTTGCTGTTAAGTTCATTAAAAATTTACTTGCTGTTAGATAGAAATCAGAAACCAGCTGTAGGATAATGAAATTGATCGCATACAAGTAATACATACAATTCAAGTACAGCTTTGGGTAGTTGGTTAATGAACACTGACTCTGAGCTTCAAATTTGGCAGGTCACGAGTTTAATCTGAGTCTCAAAAAAATTATTTACGAATAATTAAAAACAAGAAATAATTCCAAGACTACTGATGATGGGTATTTGGTAATACTCGAAACAGTATAGTGAGCCAAAAATTTAACTAATTAAAATAATATAAAAGGAATTATTGTGGTAAAATAAAACTGATTAAAATGATTTTTTAGATGTGTTGCTTTTGCGTTGTATTGAATTTGTTAATACATAAATTAAATCGGTATAATATAAAGTTTATTACTTATATTATGTGATCTACATATACCGTTAAATAATATTTGTACTAATACCTATACTAATAGTTCTATTTTATTAAGGAATATTGTATTACAATTTAGTTACATTTTAAATATATTTTATCTACAAATTTATGTATATAACTTGCATATTCCCTGCTATTGAAGTAATATTCCATATATTTTAATAATATTCCATATTTTGCGAATGATATTTACGACACTGCTTTACATCGCATGCGATAAAATATTTAACAAGAATTAAAACGCATCTTACTGAACGTTTTATTTTATTAACATACAACAACAAATCTACGTTCAGTTTGATATTGTGCACTTGCATTTTAATCTAAAGTAAACATTAAAATAAAGTTATCCACAAAGCCATACCTTCAACAAGTTCAATAAAAACTTCAACCGAGAAGCATGCAAAACTTTTAAGAAACTTCTTAAAAATGCATAAAACTAGGAAAACATGGACTTAAGTGCTTTTGAGAGCAGCGTCTTTCTTGCAGTGTCGCCTGCACAGAGCGTATACCCTGTAGCATGTCCTGCCGCATCATCAATGAATTCTTTATTTACGTGCATATAAATTTATTTTTATTTCCTTGCCTGGTTCTCGCTATTTATTTCATTTTTTTTTTTCATTTTCATGGCACGTACAAATATATTTATAAATATTTTTACGTGTGTATATATTATAGCTGCAGCAATATATACATATAAATGAGTTGTTGTCATTGTGTAGATACTTTTATGCATATTTTAAGCAAGTCTGGAATAAAGTTTTAGCATTATTTAGTTTTTATTTTTGCTTGGAAACACCTTCAAGTATTTGCAAATACTTCCTTGAGACGACGGAATTGTATCAAATTAGCTTTGCTCTTGAAATTTTAACAGGAATTTTTTGTTTCACCTAACTAAGATTGACAGAGTAAAGTGCTTCATGTATTTCGGGGAAATTGATATACATAAACTACACTGCAATTTCTGGAAAACAAAAATAAGAGTAGGAAAATTGTTAAGTAAACTTAATACTTTTAAACTTATGCGCCAATAAAAAATTACTTACGAAAAGCAAAGTTGAACCCTAAAAGTTTGTGCTGTTGTTGCATTTTTGCGAAAAGGGATATTGATTTCCTGCAGCTGCTTGGCATAAAATTAATTTTCACGAAATGCCGGAATATTGAAGGAAGAAATATATTAAAAGCTTAGCGTTGATTTTGCGAATAACTTAATATAACATATGTTCAAATTTTCATGGGAATATTGGTTGGTTTTTGGTATTATTAGAGACTTTGCTAATTACACTTTCACACTCAATTAGTTTAACATATAAGATGAATTATGCTGTTTCTTGTTACTTTGAGATGTGAATAATAGCAATTACAAAAACAGCTACGTCAATATATGATAGATATATTTTTAATAGTATAGCAACACAAATTCAGAATAATATATATTATTGTTATTAACAGGATTAACGTTTAACACAATCAGCAAAACAAATCAATCATTCTTCCAAAAATACATTAGGTAAATAGCTTAATTATTGTTCAAGTGATTAGTTTCCATTCAAACAGTATTAAGTAATAAAATATATTAACTATTTTGATAAAAAGATACACGCAATTTAATTCAAAAAAACAACTTAATTAGTTGAGGTGGAATTCAATATAAAATTAATTAAAATAAATATTTCATAAAAAGGTTTTCTCGAACAATAGTGAACTACAACAACAAAAAATTAATTTTTTATATTATTTATACAGCTGTTTTGAGTATTGCCAAGTACCCATCATCAGTGGTCTTGGAAATAATTCTTATATTTAATTATTCGCAAATAATTATTTTTGAGACTGCAAGTACTAGGAATCGAACTCGGGCCCTGCCAAATAGACCCGAATTAAAATAAATATTTTAATTTGTGATTTCATGTAATGGAAAAATTGTATGAATCCAAACAATATTCTAATATTATGTTTAGACAGCCAAATTTAATTTCGTAAAAATTATATTAAGTTAATTTCATAATATCATAATGATATTAAGTTAATTGTCATACCGCCCCAAATTAAGGAAATCATATGTTTTTTGTTTACAAATCAAATATTAAAAATTACATGCTCGAAAAATAATATCGTGTTGAAAGTTTTGAGTTGCATGTTGAATTTTATTACAAATCGAAATCAAAAATAATATATAAGAATTTTTGTAGTATATCCTTTGAAAACTTATTCGATGGTGCGTGACAAAAAAAAATTTAAAAAATTTTTTTTAAATAAAACGGGAATATTTTGATTTCTTAGTAAAATTAAATACTGAATTTAAATAAAACATAAAAAATGAATATTCTTGGAACACATTTGGAAAAATTTTTTTTTGAAATTTAACAGTTAATATTAGTTCTTAAATATAAACAATCTTAATTATTTAAATCATATCTTAAAAGTTCAAACAATTATCTTTAAAATGTCATAAATCAAGTTTCTACCATTTAAATAACGTGAGACATGACCGTTTAAGAATGCGTCTATAATGCTAATTGGTAAAATCTCATAGGTTCATATCTCCTAGGAAAAAGAAATCAAAATTTTTTTCAGAGATACAGATCTTCTTGTTTTATAAAAAGAGCACATAAAAAAAATTGTAGCCTAATTGGAGATGATGAGGTCAACAAGGTGTCCGATTTGTAAAAGAATGACAAATATATAGCTCACATTACAGATAAATATTGATTATTTGTTCTAATATTTCTGATATTGACGATAGTTACTGTTGTTACTACTGTGACTTAGTTTCATATATTGCAAATACAATCATCAATGGTATATAAGAATATTTGTTTATTTTTTAAGTCCGTGTATAGTAGTTGGACTACAAGTACTAGACTTAGAAATTTAAACCTACCAAACTAGAAGCAATGACTTTATGTTTTGATCCAAGTTTCTTCGCTTAAGTTTTAAGTTTTTTATTACTTGTGTTTTGAACTTTAATACATTATAATGAAACTTAAGGAGCTGCGAATCGAAATCACATAAACAAAAAACAACAATTTCGAAAAGTTTGGGGCAGAAATCACTCTAACTAAACTACATTTAAGCGGAAAACCAAAACATTTGTAGGATCCTTTCGGAAGCTGTGTTTTACCTAAGGAATTAGTTCCAATCTTTGGCCAGCTGAAAAATCATTGAAGCCACTTTTCTTATCCATCTGACAGAGTTGATGGATAAGTATTTATACCTTTTGTTGTAGACCTCTTGGTTTGGGATATGAACACCGGATATGAATTTATTAATGTAACATAACGAGTCATTATTTATACTAAAGTGGGTTTTGGTAGACAATACCGCCACTTCAAATGAAAACCAATCTATGCTATGCTTTTGATTAAACACGAATAACATTATTAGAGAAATATCGGTAATTAATATAATAAGAAGTGTGTTTCTATCAAATTTTTAATTATTTATCTAAAATATATATTTTGAATTAGGTGTTTAATAAATAAATGCAATATTATTACCTAATATTGATAAATACTTAAGAATTTTAAGCAAATTAACACAACAATATAAGTTAAAAAAATATGTATTTATAATTGTATATAATATTTAATTTATATTTAATTTAATTTATAATTTTTAAAAATACTTATCTTAAATATTCATATATATAACAAATATTTTTCATTTATAACTTCAACAGGAAACGAGAGCAATTGACAATTTTGTCGTTCCACCCACAACGGGGACCAACCAAAATATACAGCTGCCCCCAACACCACAAAGACCAGCGCATGCAAAGGAATACCATTTTCTTGATATTGAATTAAAATATGGATTTCTACAGGTACGTGTTCTTCATATGCAAACGAGTATAAGCAAGGTATATAAATATATGATGATACATAAGAAAATGTGTGCATTTATGTTTATATACGGAATATAAATTTTTGTTGTGAATTTGTATTTGGAAAATTTTTTACATTTTTTTAAGACCCCAGTAAGTATCATTAGGTTTTATTATAATTTGACTCTAATGTATGCGTAAATGAGTTTAAGTATTAGTATATACACAATTTTATAGCATATGTGATATGCATATATAATGTAAATGATTTAATTCCGTGAAAGTCAAGCTTCTAACAATTGAAGACATACACGATTTTTGTTAAGAATAATCCATCTTATAGAACAAAATTTAGAACACGCATCAAATTTTTATGACCTGAATAGCTGAGTGTTTCGTTGTTTATGGTATTTTGGATTTAATTAAGCACTTTTAAATTGTCTACTAAATTCTAACACCAGTCGATGTTTTGAGAAAGATTTAAAAATAATTATTACAGTTTGGAAGAGTTTTTTGGCTGCACACAAAAAGATTATCTTAAAAGCACATTGGTGATAGTGTTTCTATTTATTTCAAAGATAAGAAAATAAATTAAATGGAAAGAATTTTATGTGTTAACCAAAAAATAATATTAATTGGGATCAAATCATAAATAAATAATAAAGGCATTTTTAAATAAATTCAATATATTTTTAATATGTTATGGTACACTTAGGAGTTAAAGAAATTTATATATATATGAATTGTATTAATTTAGTAGTATTAAAAATTTCAATTTAAAATAATTTTATATTATTTTTATCATCCATAATGTGTTGAATAACATATTAACTAAATTTCAGATTATATTAATTGACTATTGAAATACGTAGTAGCATAGTTCAGTTGTTGTATGGGCTCTAATATTTATTGGCAACAAATGTTAATATCTTTCTTAAGTAACTAAAGGATTTCTTTCACTTCAGCTATATCCAAAAAACCCTGAATGGTTTTTATGTCGATGTTTGGTCACTCTCATTCGTGATTCAATACTTTGAACCACTTGCTGTACTGTAAAAGTCGAGCTTTCTTCAAGAATGTGTAAGCCATATTTCTATGTCTTTTATGCATAGTCTGCATTTGATATATGACAGTTTTAACCGAACTTTATGCTTGTTCAAAAAGTGTTAACCAGTTATCTGCTGATTTTATTTTGTAAAGAAGAACTTGATGCAACTGGATGTTCACTCGTTAGACCATTTGTGCTTGGAATGGCTACTATAGTTCAATTTAGCTAGGCCTTTGAAGTGATTTTTACTGACACTCAGAATTGGCTTCGGGCCATGTGTTTGCCTTGAGATAGATTCTTTAGCAAATTTGTTCGCCACCTCATCGAGAACACTGTATGTAGATATCCAGTGTAAATTCACTTAAATTCCAGTATAGAGATCGATAGATATTTGATTCTCTGAGTTGTAGATTCTTGAGCACGAACCCTGTTTAGTATTGTAGCCATCTGTGCACGAGACAATGTCAACAATAATGGTATTGATACTGTTCTCTACCACCTTCTGTCTAATATTATGGTGATGTTTTTCCTGTTGTTCATGTATTTTAGAAGCATTTGGGTAAAAAACATCTTGAAGTCTTTAGAATGTTGTAATGTGGCCAACAAAAACATGTATCTTTTGTAATCACAACTTCTTTGTTTAGTATACCATTGTAATATAGCCTGTATGTGCTTATTGATGGTTTTCTCTGCACATTGTTGCCATTATAAATAAGTCTTATTTTATGGACTTTTACTTATATATAATAAGGTATAATAAAGTAAAGAAATAATAAAAAGATACATGTTACATAAATAGATAATTTAGTGATTATATATATATAATTGGAGGTGCAAAATTAACAGAAGGTGAAATAGAAAAAGAGTAGTAACGATAATAATAATATATAATAATATAAAATTGATTTTAAGTTACAAAATAAGTCACAAATCAAATTTTTATCAATATTACGAATTCTGATTGATTATCATAGGGACTTTTATTTCTTTGTGAATGTTGTTATTCTGATATAACATGTGATTTCCCTTAACATATATAAGTAAATTCTTTGCAGAATTTTTATATTTGATGCACTTACATTATTACACAATTGAAGACCATATCCCCAAACTGCTTAATGATGTTCTTATATAAAAGAACATCTTACTCTATGCTGAAACAGATTGTTAATTGAAAAGCTAGTACAGCTGAATATCTTGAAGTTAAATTTAGACTTGTCTTGTTTATATGTGTTTTTGTCATGTTAATCTCCTAACTAAAACTAAGCAAACGTTGTTTTGAACCACCTAAAACTTTTCCATGACAACAGAGCATTATTGTGTCGTAAGGAAAAGTCCAAATGGCAACAAAATTAATAGAAATGTCGCATATAAATAAAAAATATAAAATGAAACCACGGATGATATGTTGCAAAACATCATATTTATAGTTGCTACTTTTTATAGTTAGAATTCTTAGAATTTGTATTTATCTACGAGTATGTATTAGTAACAAATAACTGCATCAAATTTTCTTTCAAACAGCTTTTTTATTTTTTAATAATAATGACAATAAAAAATTATTTTTTAAAATAAATGTCTATATATAAAAGCATTAATGTGGAATTCTACTTTCTACAAAGCCAAAACAAAAATATTTATTTCTAAGTAATAGCTACACCCCCATAAATTGAAGTTTCTAATGGTAACTAGTACTTTACCATTTCCACATCAAAATAATCTAAGAGCAGTACATTCTTTCTTTATTACTTATATATAATTCTTTCCCACACAAAAAAAACATATAAAACAAATGTAATGATATTATACATATTTCAACTAAAATTAATGTTAGCATTCATTATTACCACTCATTACGAATAATAAACATTAATAATATAAAGCAAAATGTCTCCATTCTTAACTAATTGAAATGTTATCCCTCTGTACTATGTAACCAATTGTATAAATGCTAAATTTAACTATATTTATTTCACGCTTATACTTCAATGTATTTTTAGTTAGTCGAGGCTTTATCCTATTTACACTATTCTGGTCACGTAATTCATCGCAATGTGTGTCCATCATCAATTTTAGTAACCAAGCGAGGTACCTGGAAACTAGCTGGTCTGGAATTTATTGGTAAGTATATCTGAATAGAACAATTGTTCCGAAAACAGATACAAGTGTTACAAAAAAAACAATTCCATCTTTAAGTAACTAAAACAACTGAAGAAAAGCAACACCACAGGAAAAACTTTTTAAACTTGAAATTTTATGAAGTAAATAGCAAAATATCTTCGGGAAATGTTAAAGATATTGTAATTATATTAATAATTTTAAATACGAACCCAATAAATAGTTTTATAATTGCTTTGCTTAAGGAAATATTTTGAAGTTGATTAAATTAAATTTATATTATATTTTCTTATTTTTTGTTATAGAAAGAATGAATGAGACTGATTTAAATGATTCGATACCTTGTCAACCATGGAGTAGCAGAGTTTCAAAAATGGCACAACCAAACTTAGATTTTATGGGTAAGTTGTGGAATGAAATTAATATTTGTCTAAAAAATTTTTAAGTTTCAATTAATACTTATAATACCAATAATAATAAAAGTCATTATTACACAAAAAATTATTATTTCAAAAATTTACGTATAACAATATTGCAATTAATTAAATTAAGTAGCTTCGATAATCTTGAATCATTTTAGAAGCACTCAATAGTAAATATTAGTGGTTATGACCTTTACTATTTTTTATCATTTGTCATTACTGACCATTAACATTACCATTACCGAAGTGAATAATAGTTCTACTAATTGGATTGAGAATAACGTTAATTTAGCAAAATGACTAGATAAACTACATAAAACCTTTAATTTGCTGTTGGTTGTGCTTTATTCCAAACTACATCACGTTAACTATTGTTATGATATTTGTCATGCACTTAAGAGTCATAACCTCACAAGTGCACTTGATGCAAATAGAAATTAAAATAAGAAGATAATCATAATTATTAAATATAATATAATCTAATGCAATCGCACGTGGAAGAGAAAGACCGTCGTAAATATTCTTTTGACTCTTTTTTTGGAATTGCATTTCTGCAAAACTAATTTTATTTTATTTATTAATAATTACATATAATATTTAATTAATGTGTAGCAATTAATTTATTCTAAAAAGGTTCGAACAGCAATGAAGAAACAATAACAAAAATTTGATTAATTTATTGCAATTTGGCTGAACACACAACACTGTTTCAAGTATTGCCAAGTATTTACCATCAGTGATCTTAGAAAATATTCGAATTTTTATTTAATTAGTTTATAGGTCCGTATATTATATGTTGGTCTGCTAGTGCAGGCTTAGAATTCATGCCTATCAAATTAGAAAAGACTGCAGAAAAAAAAAAAAAACTTTAAAAATTTAAAGTCCAACAAATTATTCACAGAGTTAAACTATGGTAAATAAAAAATTCCTTTGAATTATATTTCCTAAAAATCACTGATGATGGGTTCTTGACAATGCTCGCAACAGCATTGTATGGTCAGCATAATTGCTATAAATTAATGAAATTTTTGTTGTTGCTTCTTCATCACATTTCGAACATTTCTAGTTTCTTTTCGTCAAAAGACACGTCACATTTGACAAAAAAAAATTATTTCAATTTATCCTTTTTTTTTATTTAAAGTATTAATGTCAATACAAATTGGTTTTTTTTCCATGGTTTTATATTGCTTTTTCCTCAATTAGAAATTGTTTTAAAATATCTCCTTTTTAATTAATTGAGCAAGAATTAAATTTCTTTAGTGTATATTTTAGAGCAGCATACTATTCATATATTTGTCCTATATATCCTTCCGTCGTATTATATTTCGATATTTGTTTAATACCACATTCTTATTATAAAGAAATTATTAGTTCTTTTATTATTAGTTCTTATCCCCTAAATTTGTAGAGTTTATTAATTTGTGTGTACTCCTATGAAACAAATATTCGTTTACTGAATATGACAGTAACTAAGCTTATTACATGGGTTTAGCTTAATCGATACGTGCAATGTAACCTATATGGAGTTTCAAGTCAAAAATTTAATATACTTTTATTTTATTCACCACAATATTAATGTTATAATATATTTAACTCAATAAAACAAAAACTTCAAAATTCATAAGTAATGCATTTTAGTATATCTTATAAATCTAGTATTATATTAAATAAGTTTTCTCATTTCTAACAAATAAAACACACATTTATATTAAATTACTTAAATAATGTTATTAAATTTATTTATTTCACAATGTAGCACCAGAAACACAAATAACCTCAAAATGCAGTTTACTGAGTGATATGTTCTCCTTGGGTTTGGTTATTTGTGCTGTTTTCAATAATGGACGACCAATTATACAAGCTGGAAATTCAGCATCCAATTATATGAAACAACTAGAAACGGTAAGTTTCTAAAATATTTAAACATTTAATAGATAATATAGTAAGATATGTGACTTGTGTTAAACTAATGCCAATTTGAACAAGTTTTATGAGTAATAATGCGGTAGATGAACATAAGTATTTCAGTCTTTTTAACCACAATCATGTTTGCATCAACATTTTAAATACAGTGAGATAATATTTTAAATGTTTAAAGTTTTGGTAGTTTTTTTTTATTGTTTTAAATTTAAATAAAAGTTCGTAGAAATTACTTAGATTTCAAAAATAATTTCTTCCAAATCATCAAAATGTAACAAGTTTTGGAATCACTCATTTTCTTCATATTGCATTAAGGCTTATTCCATATTATTTAATAATCCAAATAAACTTAAAAAAAAAATTAATAAGTATAAAACATTAAAAACATCATATACTCTTATCTGGATTTATCACTAGAGTAAACTGTCATGTAAAACTAATAACAATGGTTTTAAGTAGAGAAATAATTAAATTAAGCTGTTGATGTCTTTTAAAATCAATTACAGTGGATTTAATATGAACTCATGAATTTTGTTAAATTAATTTTTAGTAAATACTGTCACTAAACAAGAATAAAACGATTTAATATAAATGACATCCTCTTTATTTTTTCTTCTTTTATCTTTATATATATGCTATTGCCTATCGTGCCATCATCATGCACCCACCATGACAACCACAAAAATGTGTTTTAAATAAAAATTTCAACATTAATAACGACGGCTACAAAAACCGTAAACCAAAAACCAATGCATGCAGTTGGATGAATCCGTACAGAAAATGCTACCAAGAGTGCCAGTGCCATTGCAAGAAGCGACTTCACGTTTAGTCAGTCGTGATCCCACCGCAAGACCGCCAGCGCAACTATTACAATTGATTAAGTACTTTGTGTAAGTAATTTTCTAATAGCAAATAACAAGAGTAAAAGCAAAACCAACAACAATAAGATATAATACAAGCAACAGACAACAGACAATAGAATCAACAGCAACATCAACAACAACAGCAACAGCAACAGCAACAACACTTACATTAACAATGAAAACCGCAATGGCAATGGCAAATGTCTGAGATAAGATAAAATTGCAAAAACCTAAAATGTTAGTACGTTTCCTTTGGCTTTTAAGATTCAACACGTTGCACGCAGGTGTCAAAGGGAATGATGTAGCACGTCAGAGGCGTCATGCCTGCCTAATCGGTATAACGTGATAATAGCCGTAAAGGAAAACTTTCAATTCAACTTTAATATATTAGTTTGCAATATGGATAGAAAGCACTAAGCACTAAAACGATTGAGCATATCGCAGCATGACCCAATTCCTTGTATCAATTTGCCTTAACCGACGTTGTCGTTATAAATTGGTTCTTACGCTATACGCTATACGTCATACGACATGGCCTTTGCTTTGTATTTAACGATTTACATTTTCTATATTTTTGTTGGCTGGTTAAGTTGAAGTTAAGGTTTTATTGACAAACAATTTTTTGTTCTGTTGAACTGAATTTCATATGCCATCTTTTTGTTTATTTATTTTCACATTTTTTTTTCCTTCACAGTTACGGTTTAGGACTACAGGCGAATCCTTTCAATCCTTAACGCACTTAAGCGTTGTTTATCTTGCGTTGACTTTAAATAGTGTTTGCTTAGCTAACAACAACGATAACAATAACAAAATTCAAAGTTGGATTTACTGTTAGTAAAGTACGATCAGACAGTCGACATTACTTGAAACTCGGCACAGATATCCTAACATTGAAATATAAAAATAAGGATGCACTACACACGCACCCACACCCGCACTCGCATCCCGCACCCGCACCCGCACAATAGTACAAGAAAATGTAAAGGAAGTAAATATTTACGCTTTCCATCTTGTGGAAGATTAAACTCACTTTGGATATAATTTAAATGTTGTCAACATTTTACTTTGCTCTTGAAATAGGATATTCTACGTTTACGTAAAGGTTAAGTATATTGTCCTAGAGGTTTGTGTAGGATTTCATTTTAGAATGACACTGTAGACGCGCAATGGGAAATTATTGCAATGCAGAAAATAGAGAAACAATTTGCAAAATTTAATAAAAAATGTATTAACTTCTGTTACTGCACAATTTACAATATAAAAGCATTTTGCATGCAATATTATTTTGCTGAAAAACGATTTGATTAATTTGATTTGATGTTACAACACTCAGAAATCTAATCAAGATTTTTATAAAACGTATTTTCCTTATTTTTTGCAACTGGAAAATATGTGTCTATATTTATTAAAAATAAAATTGTATTCTTTGTTGCATTGTTGGCAAATGAAAAAATATACAATACAGTTTTAGTGTACTTCGTTGGCAATACATGCCATCCTTTTGTTGATTTTAATTTAGAAAAATTTAGAGTTCTATAAATCTATATAGGTATTGTATCTATATATATATATATTGTTATTGTATCTATATCAAAAAAAAAATGTTTGTATTAGTTATAAATAAATTCTAAATGCAATATAGACGATAGAATAAAGAGGATGACGTAGGTATAGTTTTAGTAATATTAATTTAGGTTGAATCGTGATTCTGAGGAGAGTCGAAATATAGGATATAATAAAAATATTAAACGTTGAACTATTTAACAAAAAGGGACCCATTGCCATATTAAAAAATATAAATAAAATCTAAATGGATAAGTTAGAAATAAAAAACAGATGCTTCACAGATAGTCCGCGTGATGGTTAAAAATTGTCCGCCTTGTAGTTTATCCACTGAGAGTTCACTTATTAGAAAATAAGTACAAAATCAATTTCAAGTAATTATACACCTATAATATAGAGTATATAATGTACCTAAGCACTTATTAAATTAATTATATGAATAAAGCATACAAAACTAATCATATAGTTAATTATTCTTAAACTTTGTCATTCCTACTAAAAACAAAAATAGCATAGTGGTCCTTGGTCAAAAAATAAAAGGTTGCGAACATCACCTAACATACGTAGGATATTAAAATAATTGGTGTTGTCTATTGTCCACGATTAGCTAAAGTTCTGCTAAATCATAAGAATGTACTACAATATTTTGATGTAGTTAGTAATACAAACACAACAAGAAAATTGCAATAATGGCATTATTTTATAGTAAAATAAATTGTTGCAAGTTAAACATATTTATTTGCTTAAATTCTTTTTAAAAATCATGAGTTGACAAGTCTTTCAAGATTAAAATTTCGAGTTATTATTGGCACTCAGAAATTCAAGTTCAAAAAACTCAAATTTAGATAAAGGATTAAAAATTAATTACTACAAATTAGTATTACTAATATTAATGGAATGTATCAATATAAAAACAGCTTTTATCAAAAATGTAAACACTTGTCATAAATTAATAGAGATTTTTTAAAAATTACTTCATTAGTTATTTTTCAGTTAATCAGATTCAACCATTATATGAAAAAAAGAATATTGATAGTCCTAAAAGAATGTTTAGTATGTATTTTTAATATATTCAGTAGAATTCGGATATGCGGTAGACTCCAGCATATTCGGGGAAAAGTAATATTAAGGATTTACATCCACAGTCCGAATGGATTATGGATACACAAAAAGTTTTGTATAATTTTTTGTATATAGGCATATTTATTTTTACAACATAGACTAATGAAAAACTAAACAACAATCAATTCCTCATTAAATTATTCCGTAAATTTACTGATACGTTCATATGATGTGATGAAATCTATATGCACGTAAAGACGAATATAACACACATGCCCCAAATGAGATCCATTTCCACTAGATTATCATGTAAGCATTTCCTAACATGTGATCTACATTAGTGAACCAGCAGTCTATCCAGACTGCAAGTCACATAACGTCTGTAATATAATAAAATATATATAATATTTTGACTTTTGTAATTTTGTCGGAAGTTTTGTGAGTATTGTGGAGATCACAATGGACAATAGATGTTCGCAAGTGGAGTAACATTTGCACGCTCACTTTCAACTTAACCTACCTATGCATTGTTGTAGAATGCTATGGTTTTTATTTCATCATATATTACCACATGTTTTACAAATTAATCAATATGATTCAGAGGCATTTATTGCCCATTGTGATGCCCTCAAAGATTTTGCTGGGAAAAACGAGCTGTAACCTTTGTTATTTTCGTGTACTAACCTTGTTAAATTATTTAAACCACTTGGTTTTCCAGATGATGTTTAGAAGATTCTATAAGTCTGCTTTCGTTATCTCTTACAGGCCAGTGAAGAAGCGAACCCCAAGACATTAAAGTGGCCTTCTCTGCAGTCCTGAACAGAGACACAGAAAACGATTGATGTTAACAAAATCTTTTCCTCATAAAAGACACCATTTAAATTAGATAGGATTTTTTCATTTTTCACCGTTACTTAATGTTAGATAGAAATTTATTACCTTATCCGCTTTTTTTTTGTATCTAATCCATAATTTTATCAAGTTTTTCGACTTATCTAGCACAAGCCCATATGCATTCAACGATGCTGCAGGTTAGACCGTAATCAACATAAAGTAGTATACGTCTTTGTCTTCCAATTTTTTTTTTTAAAATGCTACCATCATGTATTATTTTTCACTGGAAGTCAATAGTTTAGTCAGATCAAAAAAAAACATTGTAATATACTGTAGATGAAATTCGAAGACTAGTAGCTAATCTATACAAACTAGAAAATTAGACTTTCAAATTTCATTTCATTTAAGTTAGCTGCGAGTAACTCTTCAGCATTACTATTTCTATGGATATTTTCATAATTTTGATTTTTCTCCTTTGTTAATCCATCCTCAAAAAAGGCTTTTACTATATAATTTAATCTACAATAATAGTAATTATTTTCCTAAAATCTTTATTACTATAATAATAAGAAAAATAATAGTAAATATATTGAAATTAGTTGGACTGCTACCATAAAACTAAAAGTGAAATAACAAAATATGCTTATAAAAATGAATAATTCACTTTGTTGTGAAATAATCCTTATTATATTTTTCATGAAATAAAGCGTGAGTACTCAATTTATAAGGAAAATTAAAGTTTAACTATAATTGAATTTAATTGCGCTGAAATGTGTTGCTCGGGAAAGGATTATAAATTGCTGCAACTGCTGTTGTCTGTTGGTTGTGCTTGGTTAGATTGTCATTATAAATTTTATTTTCTGCAAAAAATAAGATTAACTATGGAAGCATTTGCCTGTGCCAGAACAATTAATAATTTGTCTTTTGTTTGACTCTGCTAGAGATCCAGCCGTAAATGCATTAAAGTTCCTGGACGTGGTAAATATGAAGGATACTACACAAAAATCACACTTCTATAAAAATACGTTGATGGAAGCCATGCCGCTCATACCGAGAGTAAGTAAAATTGAAACCTGCCTTTGTTGATTCATAGTTTTTTGTAAATTTTGTACGCCGTTTGTATTTTACGACCAAATAATTTAAAGAAAAAATAATTTAAAAAAAAAATATTATTTTTTAAGTCCATCTATAGTAATGCTAAGGTAAAGTGCGCAATGTGACAGCCATGAACAGTTGGGATTTCCTTTCATAATATTTTTTTGCAATTTCCTCTTAATTCGCCGTTTTTTCCCAGCTTTTTAAATATTAACAATTTTTTTTTGTTTTTGGCGGGAATATTAAATATTAAAAATCACATCTATTCTGTAGAAATTATGGTGGCAGAATGTGTGGCCAATGTTACAAGCGGAAATTAGCAATGGTGAAGTGCTTGCAGCTGTCTTACAACCTGTCATCACTTTAATACAGGAGGCAACACCCACGGAATATGAAAATGTTATGGCTTCAACACTGAAGTAAGTTTATAAAACTTATATAATATATATATAGTTAAGATTATATTTTCAAGTTGTGTTTTTTTATTGATTTTTGCTTTTAAAGATAATTTATATTTTAAATGGATGTTTTTTTTTATTATTAGCAAACATAACCGCCCCTCTAAGTTAGCCATTTTAGCTCAGTTATCTTTATTTTGAACTACATTTATTGGCAATGAGTTGTGGTAATATTTGCATGAGTATATTTCATTAATCATTTAATGCATAAAGTAATGGGAAAAAATAAACACTTAAATTTATTTTTAAAAATACTTCAATCTTAATTTTTTCTTCATACAAGAAGTAAAAACTTTTAAATACATATTTTCATATTACATAGAATATTTTACTTGAGTGTAAAAATGAAAAACTTTACCGTGCGTTGTGCATTATTGCATGAGCAGTTCAAATATTTACACGTAGGAACGTTAGTTCAAACAAAGTTTAAGGACTGCATTACACCCGGTAAACTTAGATTCCAAAGGTGTATGATGCAGTTATTTATCTTCCCCGCTGACATTAAGGGAAATAAAGAAACCAACTTCAAAGTGAGGTAAAAACTGTGCAAGTATAAGTGCAACACATGACAGTACAGAATTTAACATTCATTTGTTCTTTCTTATTGTTTCATTTCCGTTTTGATCAATTCCATGATAGTCTTCGCAGCATCCATTTCCTACTACTTTTTGTATTACGTAAGGACAAAATATTTACCTGTCAGCGTTTAAAAAAGTCAAACGGACTTAGGGTTTTATTTCTAATACCTTTTTCATACCATATATCTCTTATTGATGTAATAAAAGTTTTTATTACAAAGTAAAAGCTCTACAATCTTAAAGTTGTTATTACTTCTTTTTAAAGTTAATCCTGTTTAAATACTTTTTTAATTTTATATATACATTTCTGCGTTAACTTGTTAAGGTCACATCTAACTTTTTTATATTATGAAACACCTTTAAAAACCCTTCTCAGGCATTAACCGATGATTAAATGGTAATAATCACCAATCTTTAAGCACAAATAAACAATGTTAATTTATAGCTAACAGCTATAAGATAGTACATAAATCAAGTTTAGTATTACGTATTAAGCTGAATGATGCACATCAAATTAACACGTGTAGACCGTAGGGACGCTAGGGGTACTAGCTAAAAACCTGTTTATTAGCGTAGTAGCTAGCCCTATTACGGGTTGCGTGTAAGCAAGTTCTCTGTAAGCAAGCTTTCTGTGAGCAAGTTCTCCGTAACCAATTTTCATAGTTCTATTGTTTAAATATTATCACGAGATAATTTTGGTTTCCATATAATTAGTAGAAGATTTTCGGGTCATTTTCAAATCTAAAAATTGTAATAAATTCCTATTGAACTATTTTATTCAGTGTACCTAACGGCTATACTGGAAAGACTTTGACAAAATGTTTGCATAAACTTACAATTTTTTATTAATACACAAATCTTCGTTTGCAAATTAAATTTATATAATATATATTTACATTTGAATATAAACGCCCAGTCATGTTATTATGTTATACCAAAGCATAGCATCGGTGTCATTGTTATGGCTGGACATATACATAACACTTCATCCAAAGATTACTTTACTATAGTTTTGTTAACAGTAGCATATTTATCCTATAGCCATGAATATTATGGATTGCGGCCATTGGCGTAAACCTGAACCGTAGTGAGCCTTGCAAACCCTTAATAGTTATTCAAGAGAATTAACTTGTATATAACTAAATATTTTTTAAAGAATAAAATATTTCTTTTTTTTTTCTTGTTAGTACTAATTAGTGTACTTAATAATTTTCGAAAACTAGATTTTAAAAACTATCTAAACTTCTGCTTCATGATATTTAGTTTGAAACAATTAAGTTTTAGCTATAAAACCTGGAATATGGACTTGTTTCATTTTAAATGATTTTTGTTCTTTTTAATTAATTAGAGTCATCTTCAGCTCACCAAAGTCCATACAGGCAACGGTGACTTTACTTGAAAATTTACATTTAATTATGGAAAAGACACAACCGGAGGATGTCACTACAGATATTATACCAATGTTATTTTTTGCATTTGAAAGCTCAACAATACAAGTACAGGTGAGTACTTCTATTATAATTAAGTTTGATTGTTGTTGAGGTTACTGTTGTTGTTGCTGTTGTTGTTATTGCAGCTGTTAGCAATTTGTTAAATGTACAGGCAATGTAAGTTTCCTGTTAAGTATGTATTATTTGCCCATCAGCATATTTACAAATACATTGACATGGAAAATTTATTCCCAAAGTGGGTTTTTCGAAAAGTTTTCTATTTGCAACATCAGCAATTTTTATGCTTAAATAAATAAAAATAGAAAAAGTAAAGACTTAAAACTTTTAAAATCGTCAATGGTATGGAAAAATTTGTTCTACCAAAAGAAGAAAATTTTTCGAAAGCATTTGAGATTTTTATTATTTCATTTGATTGATTTTGAAGGCAATGAGAATTGAATTAAGTAGGTATTAATATACAATAAAATTTATAGATATATATAAAATGTGAGAATATAACTTAATTGAATTTAAATTTTGTTAATTCAAGTTTTAGTTTGGAGTGGGAAGCTATATATATATAGAGCGTTTTTAGCTTATACTACTCAAGTACAAGAAACGATTTCTGTGCGTAAAAAAAAACGTAGAAAAAATAGTGAGTTTTCGCTAATAACTAAAACAGAGGATATTAATAAATTTTCCTGAAAAACTCCTGTCATAAAATCTTTAAGGACTCAGAAATTACTATTTCATTTAGCTTAACTCGTATGTCCTTTAATGTCTCTAAATTTGATACATAATGTGTTTTCTGCCTAAATAGTTTTGGATATTTTGGTGGTTAAAAAAAAAATTTTTTTTAGTCTTTATCATTTTCGTACATAGTTTCATGTATCTCAAAACAATAGCTTATTAACGTGCTAATATTTTTTTGCGGAAGACTTTTTTATCTTACCTTCAACATTTTCCTATAATCAGCTACTCATTGCCTTTTGGACACAAACAGCGTAAATTCGCTTAAGTCTTTTAGTATTTATGCCTAAATTTGTGCATTATTGTCACAAAAAGTAGTGGATAGAATCAAATTGCGATTACAATTAACTGGTACGCGGTAAATAGAAAATGGGTTTGTAAAAATTTTTTACAAAAAAATAATTGAAGAAAACTCGATTGATTTCATATTTATGCAAAAATCGTAGCTGTTTTGAAAATATAAACCTAAAGCAATTTTTGCAGTTTTCATTGCTTGGGACATGTCAATTTTGAAGTTTCAGATTAGTTTTAAAACTAAAATCTTAAAATTGTGTATACCAAAAGATAGAAAATAGAGAAATATGATCCATTCCATATACAGTTGAAATATTTACCCAGAAAACCTTTATTTATAGTTTTACAAATATATTCGTATACCAAAACTCAATTCCTACACTATTTAAATAGTGTGATAAGTATAAAAAAAATAATAAGTACTCTAAGATTTCTTTTAGGGATATTCATAAGTTTTAGTTAACTACTTCACAATTTTTTTGAAAAAAAAAGTATCTTTTTTAATTTTGCCAATGAAAAGAAAGACTTTTAAAAAATGTTGCTCTACTAAGCTATATGTTATTTCACTTATATATTTAATAATTTGGTTTAATAATATATACGTTGAAGTTTACGTATATATTAATTCCATTTAAATGGCCTGTATCTTCAGAAATGACTTGATTTGGTCTTAAACAAAAACCTTTTGGTCTAGTATGATATAATAAAAATTTTTAATATTCAGCTGTTTGCATTCTTGATTTAGTTTTAGAAAAGCCACTAGAAAAGGACTAGAAGATCTATAAAATGAACTTCAGTGTTTTCATGGTCACGTATAAAATCATCATGCACTCATTTATCATCATACTCATACGCATTTACAATATAATGGTACAACATACATAAATGATACATCAGTAGAACAACAGAAGCAACCGATTAGATATTGGTTGTTATAGAATCATGTATTGGTGGTTACGTTTTTTGATTATCACATTTACTAATCTCAGAATTTTAAAAAAAAATAATATTATTTTGAGAGCTGTATTATTCATGTATAAAATCACATTAAGATTTATCTTTACATGATATGTTATTTATCTTATATCTTCACCATCTTATCTAATAGTAATCGACAGACTTATTATTGTAGAAATGTGTTAGATACAAAAACTTTGTAGAACTTAGAATTTCAAAATTCTAAATATATACCTTATTATTTTATTTATTCCAAACATTAACTAAACATTGTCTCGTAATAGATTTTTACATCTTTATTTTTGCTAATCGATTTTCTTAACTCCTGGTTGTTAATGTCTTTGCTATTATCAATGTATTTTTTCTACATATTATAATTTTTATATTATATATTTATATTTATTTAAAAACTAAAATTTGAAATTAATTTTAATTTAAAATAAATTTAATATTTCTAATATTCTAAATATGACGAAAACCATCATGAATTTTCTTAAATTCGGTTAAAATAATTTTTTTTCTATAAAAAAAGAAAACATTTGCATTCCATTCCAAAGTCCACCATTCCAACCTAACCTAACTTATTTTCGCCCTACCAACGCCACAATACCTTACGTCTTCATCACATAATATTTTATAAATATTTTATTAAACGCGCTTGGTTAGTTTTCGCGTGATTTAACAACAAATAAATAACTGTATAAAATTTAGGTTATATATTATGGACATATATTTCATATATATGAATTTAAAATGATTAAATTATAAAATATTTTCACTATCCAACATTTGGACTAACTAAACTACGCGCACTATTTTTCAGCTGTCAAATGCATTGCTAATTCTTCTGTGTGCACATAAAAACTTTAATTGAAAACTGAGCTTGCTTTTAAATAACCTTAAGAACAGCCAGTACTTTGTATATAACTCGATAGAGCCATACCGTACGACATAAGAATGTAGACATGTGCATTTTGCATGATAACAAAGCAAGTACAGAGCGCACTTTAAGTGCAGTGTCACATACATTTACACACATTCATAAGCACACATGCACGCATACAAATTTTACTGTATGCTTTTCAATATTGTAAATCATTTTGTTTGCTTTAACCAACATTTTCTTCTACTTACGGCGTAGAGTGCAGCCGTTGTTGCAGTTACAAACGTTTACGATAACATAGAGGAGGCTTCAATACGACGTATGGTATTGCCAAAGGTAAAATCTGTATTTGAAAAGAATCTCGCTGATCCAAAAATAGTGCAAAACGTGCTTATATGCATTGAGCGTACTATGGATAAACTGGAAAAGGCTCAGGTGAGTTACCATGAAATATAAAAAAAAACACCCACAAGAATAGACAAACTTTCAAAAAACAAAAAAAAAAGAAGTAAAGAAAAGAAACAATTTTCTTCGATGATGAAAGTTCTTTTATAAAATTTATGTTTTTCGATTAATTCAAAAAGGTTATGGAGGAGGTATTGCCATTGCTTGGTGACGTACATATACCAGATCCAGATATTGTGATGCGTACAGTGCGTAAGTTTATTTACTACAAATATACAACAATATTCTTACTTTATACCATATATACCTATATACCGGTGAATATAGTGAAAATAGTAAATTCCATAACGGCATATGACAATGCAGTTGCTGTTAGTAGAAACGCTGAAAACGATGTAAAAAGAAAAAAACACTTTTGGCAAATCTGTGCTGCATTAATTTATCTTTTTAGTTGTCACATTCCTGTGACATTTTGCCGCTGCTCAACACTGTTTAGTGCAGTTTGAATTATATCAAAATATTCGCTAGTGCATTGACTATGCATGACTTTGCATAATTTGCACACTCAGTTCATTTCAAAGCACTGTCATATTCCGTGCAGCTGGAATGTAATTTTTCCAACTGCCTGCACTAAAGTTCCATTTGCGAATAGTTTTAAATTCGAATGTTGTTTCAAATAACTATTAATTTCTTCCTTAATCAACTACTTTTAAAAATATTTTAGTACATATACTTAAATTATAAATATTCTTCAACTTTAACTTCAGTTTATTTTAATATTGTTTTCCCACACTCTGTTGTAATTGGGAATTTACCTAACTTATATTTACTTATATTCTTATTTAGGTATTTACCACAAAATGTTGATTGACAAGACATATGGCTTAACTGTTGAAACAATGGCTATTCATATATTACCCTTGCTAATACCACACACTGTTAATCCTGGCTTAAATTTCGAACAATATTGCCTATTAGTTGAGGTAAGTCAATAAGCAATTTCTATTATAACATAAAATGAGATAATATTTGTATATGCATAAATTCGTAATAAACTAATTGACTTATTGTCATTAAATTAAATTAATAATGAACTACAAACAAGTCTACATACAACTTACTTAAATGCTGTTTTATATGTGCAGGTTTTGCAAGAAATGTTAGAACAAATTGACCGTCAACAACGTAATAAATTGAAATTAGACAACCTGTCAATTCCATCACCAGAACGACATCGTCCCTTAAGGCATCAATTCTCATCGGATAATATGAATGCGCCGCCATTCAATATACCAAACTTACGTATTGATCAACGTAAAACCTCCAGTGCAGAAGATATGGCTAGAAAAAATTCAGGAGGTATGTAAAGCACATCCATATTCATATATTCCAGCATTCAAGTGTGCACTGAAGTGTGCACTAACCCAAAAGGGAAACAATATGTAATTTGGGCAAAAGCTCCATTGCAAATATTTAGTTTTTATGCTTGAGTTTCTACAATGTAAAATGTATGAGTTTCATATTTCGAATGTGTGAGTTTTAAACGTTGCGAAGCATAGCTTAGGGGTGGCTTATATAAATAGGTATCAGCATGCCTGGATTATAGCATATTTAGTTTACATATATCTAGCTATCTGTAAACTTGTTAACATGGATATACAAAATACTCTCTCAAAAGTAACCAAATGAATATGCAACATCTTTTTAAACAGAATTGCTTAATTTTTGTACTAACAGATTGTAGATTTTTGTTTAAGATAAAAATCACATATGGGGAGAATTACTTAAATAAACTGTATTTTAAAGTAATTAGTATTGCATTATTTATATAACATGTTTCTTAGTAAGACTTATACGCATGTAGTACGAAAGCAGTATGTTATGGTTTTAAATTAAATATTTTTATAAATGAGTTAAACCATTTACATTTGCTATTTCATTTATTAATTATTTAATTTTATGAGCGGAATAAGCAAAACTATGTTAAACAACAATACATTAAAAGCAACCATAATTTTCAGGATTTTATTTTTGAAAGCTTATTGAGATAATTTAAAGCTATTTACATTCTTAAAAAACAATTTAATTTTAATAATATTAAGAAATGGAAGAAAGAAGTGTGCAACTAATGTAATTTAAAGTAAAACAACTTAAAATAATTCCTGACATACTAGCACTGCAGTTATTCTTAAGTAGAGCCTGGAATTCATGCAAAATATCACAAACCTGAAAACAGAATGTACTCATGTTAATAATTAAAATATGTAACCTAAGCAAATGTAATAATTAAGAAACAGTTAGACGTTTTTCTGAATATAATGGCATCCATTACACTTCGTTGCATCAAATAATTAAGTAATTAATTAACAATTACAAACAAAATAAATTGTGACTCCGCAAATATTAAGTGTATTAACACTATAAGAATGATCAATGAACACTACCGAATTTTAGTTTCGGTTTGTGGTTTGTATTGTATTGATCACATCCTTGAATATGTGTTGAATACTATTTCACAAACTAAGCAAGTTTACTCTCCACAGATCGTGTCTAAGTAATATTGAAACTATAAGAATAGTCATGAAACAATCCACTGAGTTGAAGTCTGTATGATACCTATTGTTAGTTATATTTGAAATGCTTAATAGAATGAAGCTACAAGACTTAACTGGATCGTATTGGTGGTATAAGAATAATCAGAAAATATTCTTAAAGTAAGAATATTTTCGCAAATTTTAAAGTAAATTTTAAATAAATCACCTTAACTGCATCTTAATTTCTTCATTCTTACCTAATACAACTAGATGTGGATCAAAGCTTTCTTCATTAGTTAATGATTCTACTTTCTAAATTATAATTTTCATTACTTTTAGCGGACTTAAAACCGCTTTTACTATGGTTCAGTTCCGCTATCTACCTCATGTTTTCCGTCAACGATCCATTTTAGTGCGCTGTATTCTGGCTTACGGAAATAATTCCAAAAAAATTTCGTCGTACACATATACAATCTTTTCAATGGTTATAAAAATCAGAGAACCTGATTGTATCAGAAATTTCGCTTAAAAACAAGTTTATTTATTTTTTTATTACTTATACTGCATTAGGGTTAATATGTCTTATCATAAAATTAAGCAACAAAAGCCCTTAAGTGAATTATTCTTATTTTATTAATGATTTAATTATTTTTGTTTTCTATACAACTATCTTCACAAAAATAAAAATTTTTTGTTCTTTTAAATACTAAAAACATTTTAAAATTAAATTTTTTATAAAAGCGTACTTCATTAATGAAAGTGAAAAAAATAAAATTAATAATTAATATTAATTAAAAAATCTCCTACAAATATAATGCTTTTTATTAAAATTTACTATTTTTCTGAATGCTCTGACATTCTGAGCAATGTGTAATCCTTGTCTTAATTTCCATTGGGTTGCAACCATCCAACCAACCAATCAATTTAGCTGCAACCTTAACTGCAAAATAATAAGGTTAGATTGTGACGAAGGACTTTAAAGTAATGTATTTTGATGTGAGTCAAGTCACATCATTTTCCTCTTTTAACGGTAATAATATTTTCAATTGAACACTTCAACAGTGGAAAACTGTATAATTACACAACGAACGAACTTTAGTTCAGAATATTTTGACTATGCTGATATCATAATACAAACTCGTGCAGTTAAATTTAATAACATAATAAACGGTGTAAGGATTTGTATTGAACTACACATTAATACAAAAGATTAAATGATCTAGCACATTTTCACAAATAATAAAAGTATATATATATACAAAGCATTGGAAAATTAAGTCATCCAGCAACAACTACTGCTTTATCTAATAAACGCTTACGAGATATTCTAAATTGTTTTATTTATCATAAATTCAATAAGAACTTATAAACAATAAGATAATACAAGACTATGTTAAGTTTACTGAATAACGTCTAAATCGTATTGATTTAGGATAACTGAAAAACTTTAAACACTGTCCAGATTTACAGTCTAATTGTGATTGAATGGGATAACATCTTTACCAATAGCTTTCATATTAAAGTTTAACACATCACTGAAATAGTCTACAGTGTAATTAAGAAAAAACATTTTTGTTTCAAAAATTCGAATTAATTCGTGAAGACCCTCTCCATTGTAATGCATTCATTTCTACTCCTCTTTAATGTTTCAATACCTTTTTTGTAAAACAACTTCCTTGTTTTTAATCTGTTATATTGAAAATACTGCAGTTAATTGTCAGAATAACAAAAAATTTTAACATGCATCGCTTTAAGGACTAAACTAAAATGCCACCTTACAAGACTGGGTATACTTACGGATGCAAACTGTAGATTCTGTGAAGAGAATGAGGTGTCGGCCACACATGTGCTGTTAGAATGCCCTGCGCTAATACACATACGGAATAAGCTCCTGAGAATATATATTCTTACGGAAGCGACAATAAAACTCTGTAAAGTAGGTTCTATACTACTTTTTATTGACGCAACAGGGTTTGGAGACCTACTCTAAACGCAGAAGGATGCACAATAGACCAGACGGTCGCAGTGCCACATCCCCTAACAATTATAATCGCTTAAAAGACGTAATTCTCCACAAATTATATGGATATTTCAATAGAGTTGTGATATATGTATCAGAGAGTTACTAAGTTAGGTGATATTTGTTTGAAATGTAACGCGCATATATTTTTAATGTTTTTGCCATAAAAGAAACTTCTTTTAGCTTCAGCTTATCGTCCTTTAAAGCAATTTTGTAGATTTTTTAAAAAATAGCTGTAGTAATGTCCTATCTTGGGCAAATTATACAGTACTTTTTTGGCAAAAAAACAATATTTAAAGAATTACTCAGCTCTTATCCATTGTTATAAAAATATATAAAAATTTATTATATCGCAGAAACCACTTTAACTTTTGTCACCTAATAAGTGTGTTTTTATCAAATTTTTTCATATATAGTCAATTCTAATGCTTTAAAATGCTGAAAAGGATTTTTCTTAAACTTTGCCATATAAATAGTATATATATAAAGTATATATTTATATTAGTTTGGAGTTCACAAAGTGCAAAGCTTACCTATGTGGCTTGCCTAAAAAAAAAAAAAAATAATAAAATAATAAAAATACTCTAAAAACTGAATATTGCCAAACAACATAAAATTATAATTAAAAATTTTCAATTTAAGTGCTGTACCAGAAAAACCATCACATAATTAAATTATACACTAAATGATGTGGTAGCCTTGTTTTCATAATTGCTATTAAATATGCTCAAAAGCTAAATTATGAATGATTTGTGTAAGCAACAACTTTTTCAAAAAGATAAAAGTTCTAATCCTGCAAAAACGTTATTAACAATAAGGCGGAGCGTGATTTTATCGTACAAATACTGTGAAATCGCTTTTTATGTGAAATTTGGAATTGGCACGTATTTGCCCAGGGACATACAGGAAAATTAATATTTAATTAAAATCAAATTTTTAATTGACTTAAAAGCCACACGCCACAATGTTTGCGGTGGCGGTACGCCAGAATTGTTATATATGCGCACAATAGTGCCACACTGGTGGAATGTGACTGCTCCAATGAGCAAGAGTAACTGTCGAGGAGTAAGCAAGCATGGAGCATGGAGTGATTTTAAATTATAATACGTATATGTAGTTCCTTGTAAGCATAGCATTGCCTTAGTTATGCAGATACGAAAACACAAATAATACCCTATCCAACCGAAATATGTGTATTCGGTATGCAAATTCTATTTTAGTTAAGTAAATAAAAACATTTACGACTGCAAGCTACTTTTATAGTTACTACCACAAATTATATTTTACCTAAATTTCACAGCAACAATAACAAAATAATAGAATATACAAATATAAAAGCTAACTAGAAACTTGGTTAGATTCATACTAACCGTAAAATTATCAGAGAATTTAATTATAATCGAATTGAATTATGAAAGTAATTGAATTAGGTAAGAATAGACAAGCCAACCGATATATCAAGGATAGCAAAATGCTCGATTAACGCTCACTTGATTTTGTTAACATAATGGAAAACTTTTGTGACCATCAGCTTACTTCCACCGATACGCCCTCATTTGTATGGGCATCCTAGTTAGGATGGAAGCATTTGCTTTGTTCAAAAGCTGCCGAAACTTAGGCAATGCGATTTTATGATTTTTCTCTGCGTTAGCAAATGCTTCATTAATATGCAAAATACAAGTACATATATATTTGGAAATGAAAAACTCTCACAACCACATCCCAGTCACTTAAACGGTGTCTATGTATCGAGCTTAGAGTTGTTGAGAAACTTTTTCCATTTCAAAAGTTAAATCAACAAAAAC